GAACCATGACCTTTGAAAATAATTTGTCATGAGGAAACTTCAGAGCTGGGGTTCACACCCGATCGGCTGGGGTGGGGGTGGGCCTCCAGCTGCCCCCACGTGTGGACTGATCCTGACTGCACAGCAATTTCAAACTTGATCTCAGAAGGACTGTCAGGAGTGGGGCGGGCAGTTAGGGACACTTCCTCTCAGAAGGACGAAGTTGCCTCTTGGTTGATCTGTGGCACCGTGGTGACTCTGGCCACGGAGCTACAAACACACACCACAGCAGTGACCCAGCCTCCCTGACTGGGCAGTGACTCATTTGCATAATTAGTGCTGCCAAGGTGCTGCCCGCTGGATGGGCCCTTCTTCCTAAGGCCCTCGCTCTGTGGGCTTCTGGCCTTCAGAGGTGCAAGACTCTGCCCCTGTTCTCTGCACATAAATCCCTCCAGGTGGTTCCCGCATTTATTGGGAGCCGACTGACTACATTGGGCATCAGCTTCTCTGGAACATTTCTAATCAAATTTTTTAAATACTCCTCCTGATTGCAAATGAAATTTGGGTGCAATGTGGTAAATTTAGAACATGCAATAAAATTCAAAAGCAAGACCAGGATCACCCGTGGCCCCCACGGAGGAAGTCGCTGTCAGCCCTGGGAGCTGTCCTTCCAGTCCCCACAGGGGCTGGGAGTGCCTCGGGGATCACGCTGCAGTTCTGTTTCACGAACCTTTTCATTTGGTGGCTTATACACGCTTCGCCATGGCATTCAATATTCTCCTATGGTAGGATTTTTAATGAGTGCACAAATTATTTACCCAGCACCCTGGAGTTGGACGTTTAGTTTGTTTTCCATCTTTTGATGTTATAAGCAATGCTGTAAATATGCGAGCACATAAATCTTCCCAGATAAATCTTTGCGTTTGTTCCCGAGTTTCTCCTTAGGGTAAATTTCTACGCGTGGAATTGCCGAGTTAAAGGTTAAACACATTTCGAAAGCTTTTGATCCGAGTGCCAATCTGCCCTCCAGAAAGATCAGGGTAACTTGGAACCCCACCAGCAGGCGAGAGGAGGGTCCGTGCCCACCACGCTGGCGTCCTTGGCGTCTTCAGAATCTGGCTAGCGGAAACAAAATGGCAGCGAGCTTTTGTTTTGAGCTGCGTGGCTTTGGTGGCTGTGAGATGCGACATTTCCCCGCTCCGGGTCATTTCTGTGTCTTCTCTGCGAGCCGCTCTTCCTGTTTGGGCTGCTCGGCATATGTGCCTGTCTTTGGTATTTAAAGATGGCGTTGGAGGAGGTGGCCGTGCTAACGCGTGGGATGGTGGACGAAAATATTGATAGCCGGTGGCAGGGCTCCTCCGTGGGCGGACGCTTCCTGGTGTCTTCCTCAGAGGCTCACCACGTGGCCGGTCAGGGAGCCCATTCCCCCTCTGCCTCCGGCACCTCACCCAGCGCTGGAGGGCGGGACGGGCAGGGTGGCCTTGTTCCTGCGCCCATCCCACCCCAGCTTTCTGTGGGATGGACTCCCGGGAGGGGCTCTGTCACTGGGCAAAGGGCCAAGTTGGGGATGATGGCCGGGGGAGTCTTGCCCTGGTGTTCATGGGACACAGGAAATGCTGAAGGCGACGCCCACCCAGCCCACCTGCTGGCACCCAGCCCACCTGCTGGCCCCATCCTGAAGCTCAGGTCCTTTGGGGTAGGACGGAGATGAGGCTGATGAGACCCAGACCCCAGGCCCAGGGCCTTCAGCAGGTCAGAGGTGAGTTTTCTCGGGAAGGTGTCTGGAGGCAGAAGGTCTTCAGGAGGCCTGGCTCCGTTCCTGGTGCCCTGCCTTTGGTCCAAGAGGGTTGACAATTCACCATGTTCCAAGCCCCGCCCAGGACATGGGAGGCCTCTGTGGGGTGCCCCCCCAGAGCAGCAGACCCCACTTTCTCCTACTCCTGTGGGCCAGAACCCGGCACAAGATCACAGCTGGGTGCCAGGGAGGCCTGGACAAGGGGGGTGGAGGGTGGGAGGTGGGGGCTGGGGAGGGGGAGGGCACAAGCTCACCCTGTCACAGTGGGGACGTGCTTCCTGAGCGCCAACCTCAGAGAGTCTGGCTTTGATATTAAACAAGCCCCGGGGCCGCCCGGAGCCCACCTGGCAGAAGGGGCAGGGCTGTTCCAGCTTACTTGGCCTGTGGGCTGAGACGGGTGGTGACACTGGGCGTCACCTGGCTGGGGGAACATGCTCGCCCCCTGCCCTTGCTCACAGGCACTGAGCACTGGGCGGGAAGAGCCGGTGGCTGGAGGGGACAGGCAGGGTCATCCTGAGGAAGAGGTGGGCCAGCTGCCCTTGCACAGGACCCGGCCATGGCCTCTCTGTGTCTCCGTCCCCCTCCTCCCCGGCCTCCCCCTGGGCACTCTCCTGCAGATGACCAAAGGCCTAGCCACAGGTTGGCCCCTGTCACCTGCTATCTCGATGACTTCAACATGTGTCCTTGCTCTAGGAGCTATTGCCACACACCTTTCCCCGGAGCCACCTCATGCCCCTCCCCACTGTCTCCCCACAGCACGATGGATGGCCCTGACTGCAGGCGGGTGGGCAAGAGTGGGCCACACCCCCATCTTTGCCCCGTTCATTTATTTTTAATAATAAAAACGTGTCCATATGGAGGTTCTAAAAGGCTGGTCTGCAATATTCCCAGACTGGAAATCACCTGAACGCCAGCACACAGTGGACGGCTGCAGCCATCCACGCGGTGAAGAAAGGGATGACCGTTGCTACTCCTGCAGGACGCGTGCTCCTAGGGACGGTGCTGCGTGGAAGAAGCCAGACAAACGGGAGCATTTATATAAAATTCCCAGGAAATAAAAGCCACTCTGCATGAGATTTGTGGGGCAGATTCCCTGGGGCTGGGCAGGAGGGAGCTTTCAGGTGCTGGAGGCATCTGCCATCTTGATGGTGACCCCGCAGGCTCTCCTGTGTCCAGAGGATAACTGTCCCCTTCAAACATGTGGTTCTGCTGTTTGCCAACCACACCCCAAGAAAGCTCTTCAAAACCACCTGTGACCCCAGAGTCCATGGGCAGGGGCCTGAACTTGGCAGGGCCGTGAGCCCTGGAGAGATGGGAGGTGGGGCTGGGCACCCTGAGGGTGAGTCAGAGGGGGAGGGTGGCCTGAGAGGTGGAAGACAAGGCTGCCGGCCCAGATGGCTCCCTGTGAGCTGGGGGTCCAGGCCTCTTCTTCCTGGGTGATCTGGGGCGTCTTAACCACAGACACAAGACAAAGCAGATCACGAGAAGATCTGCAGAGGACTGAGATGGCCCCTGGCACCAGGGACCTGGGAGTCCCTGGGCTCGGCTCTGGGTGTAGCACTGACCTCGGGGCAGAGCCCACACCTGCGCGGCCACTGGCCTTGCACTGCAGATTCATAGAGCCTTGGTCCTGGCTCCCTGCCCAGGGAACGTCCCTGTGATGCAGCCCAGCAGGCAGGGACTGCCATCCCTACAGGAGCTGAAAAGCCTGGACACCACTCGCCCAGCTTCCCTTGTGGCTCAGGTCAGCCCGTGGCCCGGACTTTGTCAGTGGGATGAGCCCAGGGCAGGTCTTGACCCAGGAGCTGCTGGGCCCCAGGTGCGGAGAAGAGGGGGCGTCTCCTCTCCCCTGGGGAAGCCGTGGCAGGGGGTAGGAGTGTCACACTGTTGGTGCTGAAGTGACATATTAGGCTGCCCCAACAATGACCATAGACTGGCAGCTTAGCACAAGGGTAGGTTCCCCGGGGCCCACCCACCTGGTGTCGCGGGCAGGAGGCCTGCTCAGGGGAAGCTCAGTTCTGCCCTGTTCAGCAGGTCGTGCTGGTGCGGTTCTCACGCTGCGCTGGTGCAGCTGAGTTCGGATGGCGGAGCTGGCGGGAGATGGCCAGGGGGTTAGGTGCAGCAGGGGTGAGTGAAGACACCACTTCAGGTCTGGATGTCGGTGCCCGGGAACAGTGTGCAAGTACCAGCTTGCAGCCTGCGCTGTGGCCGTGGACTGAGTGCTGCCCTGCAGGATGTGGGCAGCTCTGGCCCCTGCTCTCCACCTGCTATCTGTGGGGCGGGGCCTCTGGAGACCCTGTGCCATTCTAGGAGGGCGGAAAGGGGGGGCAGAGTCACCTCAGAACACCTGCGGGGGTCAGCGTGAGCAAGTGTGCCTGTGGCTGCAGTGGCTGTGGTGGGGTCAGACCCTGGTAGCCATTTGCTCCAGAAGATGGTCTGCACTCTGCACTCTGGGTGGGACCATGGCCCAGAGGAGGTTTGGTCACTAGGGGAGGGACTTTTTCAGCTCTGCGGGCTCTTCCCCAGGGAAGGGTTGTCTCAGGGTGTGGTGAGCGCCCAGCACTGCAGTGGTCTCTGGGTGACACCCTCTGTGCGGGGGATGTTGGATGAGGTCAGATGGTGGCCAGGGTTTGCCTGCCCTATAGCTTGTCTGAGTCGGTTAAGAAGAGCCAAACCCGCCCCAGGGCTTGTCCCCTGCAACCTGGGGATGTGGCCTTATTTAGGACTACGGTTTTTGCAAAGGTAATGGTCAAGATGAAGTCATACTGGGTTGGGTGAAAGACCCACACAGAGAACCCATGTGAAGACAGGTGGGGTTGCAGCCAGGATGCCACAAGCCTGGGACCACCAGGGGTCGCAGTGCCCACTGGAAGCTGGGAGGGAGGCAGGGCATGGGTCTTGCTCACTTCTGACCTCCTCGAGGGACAGCATTTCTGTGGTAAGCACCCTGCTGCAGCAGCCCCAGACCCCAGCCCGTCCTTCTGCGTGGCCTGGGTGATCTCTGCAACCCCACCAACAGGCATAAGGTCTCTGGCTTCATCCTGCAGAGTCTACAGACCTGGAAATCAAATGGGAAATTTTTGTTGTGTTTCATGATGCCACGCCCCCCCCCCACCTTTTTCTTTTAAAAGTATTTGATGCTCATCGTCAAAATTTTAACATCCACAAACGTTTTAATGAGATTAAGGCTTGGATGGAAATGCGAAGAGAACGTGTGTGCGTTTCCTGCTCCATCTCGCTCTTGGGAGTGTGGAGCCAGACGTGGGCCCTCATTATTTCCCGGCTCCATCTCTCTGCCTCCTCCCCCAGGGTCTCTTCCATTCCTCCTCCTGCTCCTGGCTCTCTCCAGTTCTGAACCTAGTGTACATGTGCTTCTTGCTGAAGGTGATGAGGAGGCTGGGGAGAGAACCCATTAAAATCCAGACGTTTTGCCTGCACAATCTTAAACACCTGGACCTGGGGAAGCAGAGAAACAGGCTGATTTTCCAGCATATCCAGATATTTCTCATCCTGTGAGCACCCCCCCTTCTCCGTCCTCCGGAAAATCCATTTGTCCAGAGGACGTGCACTCTGCCCGCGAACGCAGCCCGCGCCTCCGTTCTCTCCCGACTTCTGCTCAGATCCGGCTGAGCACATCCACACAAAAGGGACAAGAGCTCTGCTTCTGTGGAACCAGCTCGGCACAGACCTTCTTCCCACGGGATTGCCTGGGGTTGCCTAGCAATCTGACACCACCCTGCCGCAGCAGACCCACGGTTTGGATGGATTTTTCCTATTTTTAATTTGTTCTCTGGGTGGGAATTATTGTGCAATCACAGGCTGAGCTCAAAACTATGGTGCATGTCCCGCTCAAAACATGCCTTTGAGAGGCTGCAGGGAAGAGCCTTGGGTCCCCGTTGGAGACCGTGGCACCCATCCTGGGAGGCTCCTGGTTGTCAAAGTTGGACGGTGTCTCAGACAACTTCACTTGCTTGTTTCCCCGTCCCCCAGGCCATCCCTGCCCTCTGAAGGAGGCTGTGTTGTCATGTGGCGTGGACCTCGGACCCTGCAGGTACCCTGCACCGACCGCCCTCCCTATGACACTTCCTGTCCACCCGAGGGAGGGGTGGGGGATGATCTGCAAAACTGGAGTGACTGGGTGCTGCTGCAGAGCTGCACGCTCCTAACCCGGTGTGCGGGGGTGGGGGGGGTGGGGTGGGGGTGGAGCTGTGGCCACACCTGCCCACACCTGCCTGCTCCCCCCAGGGCCATGCGCCCACTTGCAGCATTCGAGGCTACGCCCACATCCTGAGCTGCTGGTGAGACGCCCTGGGCCTCAGTCTTCTGTGACTTCAGGGGCTGCCCAACATGACCTCTGAAGTTGCTCCCGGCCATGGTGACTTCTGAGAGAATCCACAGTCTGGATGGCCGTGCAGAGGAGGAGAAGGGAGAGGGGCAAGATGCTGCTCTGTCTGGGGAGCCTGCAGGTCGGGGAGGAGCAGGCTGAGGAAGGGAGGTCTAGACGGGCGGGCAGCAGGGTCATCCACCCAAGTGGACCCAGGAGACAGTGCCTCTGGGCGGTGGGGAGAGGGCACTCCTGTGGGGTGTCAGGTGCCAGCATGGAGGTGGGGGAGTCTGTGAAGGAGAGGAGGCGGGACGGGGAGAGCAGTGCCCAGGAGTCCTGGAAGGACGCAGGAGGCCCAATCCCACCTTCTGGCGGTGGCCAGGACCCCCAGGGCAGGAGAGCTGCAGAGGCGCTGAAGGAGAGGACCCTGAGAGGAGGGTTGGGAGGGAGCGGGGAGAAGGACTAAGGCTGGAAACGGGGTGAAAGGAAGCGCTGCCAACACGAGGGGGTTCCCAGGGGAAATCCTAGGTCCTCCAGGGACAAGGGGGGACAGGGGGTGATGTGCGGGCCGCTGTGGAGGTGCGGAGCTGAAGCCCCTGGTGTGTGAGGGCGGGGCCCCCTCCGCCCACAGAGACCCTCTTACACACCTACCTGTGTTTTTGTGCAAGGAGGACGATAGTGAGTTGTTCCAATAATACGTTCCCCCAGATCTCACGTGCCCTCCACAGCGATTCAGCGCTCCCCAGTGTCCCTCAGGGCTTAGACGGCAGCCCAGGAAGGAGGCCCTGTGAGCAGGACAGCAGTCAGCCAGCCTGGACGGTGGCGGGGAAACACCAAGGTGTGCGTGGCAGGTGGGTGTGCTCTGTCGGACTCAAGGACCAAGTGAGGCGCTGGTACCAGGCGGCAGGGGGAGCTCTGTGGCAGGCCAGGGTGCTGGTCATCTACAGACCTGACCTTAATGGTTGACAAGGGAAAGAAGCCCCAGTATACCCCTTGTCCTTGGCCGTTTTAGGTTGTGTTGTTAATTGTTGCATATCCTATTTTGGCTCACACAGACGTGGATGTGCAGGGCGATTAACATAACAGCGAGTGTCCTTCCTGTCCATGGCTCCCTTGGGCTGCTACTCTTCGATGGAAGGGTCTGGGAGAAGATAAAGGGGACGGTTTGGGGCCTCGGTTGCCCAAGAGTTTATAAGGGCCCCTTTGGAGGAGTGAGAGAACCCGGGGCTCACACGCCCTGCCGTGATGTCCGGAAGGTAGGCTGACCTCCTTTCTCTTTCTTAGCTCACCAGAGCCACCCTCCTGTTTGCCAGAGTAGACCAAGTCGCTTCAGAGGGCTGAAGCCAGTGTCTGCAGGTCATGCCAGTGGCGCTGTACAGAGAGAGGAGTGGGAAGTCCAAACAATCTGGCCCAAGTGCAGAGAAGAACCTGGAAGAGTTTCTTTTGTTGTCCAAAGGGCAGAAGGCATTCCACCGATGACCGCTCTCATCTGGACAGCGGCCCCCTGCCATCCCTCTGTCCCATCCCTTGGACCTACCCTCTCTCTTGCTGGACCACTGCTTCAGCTAGTCCTATTGCCTGGTTTCATGCTTTCCTCCCTTGTTTTGTTGGAGCACATCCTGTAGTAAATGAAAAATGGTGTGTGGGAAATCATTCTTTAGGGACCTCACTGGTGCAAATGTCTTCATTGTAGTCTCCTGTTGGACGGCATCTTTGGTGAAGTAGGGCCAGAAATCATTATCTGCCAGCACACTGAAGGCACCCCTTCCCTGTCATGAGCTTGGCTTGCTGAGAATTCAGGCACGGTTCTCATTCCTGGAAACCTGGGGAACTCTTTGGTTTCTCATGATACTAGGTGGGTTAGTTTCCAACCCTTGTGGGGAGAATTTGAAAACTCATTTCCTGGAAGATTTCTTGAATTAAGTGATTTGTGATTCCCTCTTCTCTTTGCTTGCGCTCTCTCTGCAGGGAGGAGTCCTCTGTGGGGCTGCTCTGTCAACAGGTCACCCACCTTCCCTCCTTTCTCAGCCCTCCCCTCTCTCTTTCCCTGCCTTCTGGGACTCTCTCCTGCTTTGGTCTGTTGAGGTTTTGGCGTTTGTTTGTTGCGGTCCTCATGCTTTAGTTTCCCAGCCCTTTCGGTTCTCTAAATGTTCTCCTTACAATAGCTTCTGCTCTTGGTTCTGGGGTGCACTATCTCCTCGGATCTCTTTGAGGATCAGGCTGTCCTGGAGCTCTGGCTGCTCCCCTTTAAGAAGGGGCCGCAAAGCTGCCACAGCTCTGAGCCTGGGTGAGGCTTGTGCCCTGGAGGTTCCCTCTTGGGGACACTGGCTGGGACCCTGAATGGGAAGCAGCACAACGATGTCTCCTTAGGTTTCTCCTTTTGGTACTGATCAGATTCCCCAGAGGAGACTCTTCCGGCCTCCGAGCTGGGTGGAGGGCAAAGGTCAAGATGCCATGCTAGGGGGGGTCTGAGCGGGTTTCCATGCAGGACGCCTTTCCTTCCTCTGCGTCAGGTCCCCAGGGCCACCCAGTCATCTCTGGGCTTCCACCTCCCCTCCCTGCCCAGGTCTCTGGTTCTGCGGCTTCTGAGCCTTCGAAGCCCTGCTGGCCGGCCTGGCCCACCGAGGGTCAGCTCCAGCTGGACTGCCAGGCCACCCCTCCGCAGGCTTCCTGAGCCCACAGTGCGTTGCTGGTGCCCTTTCTCCTGCTCTCAGGCCTGTGGGGGTTTACACCTTAACAAAACAGAACAAAAGGGAAGACCAACATTCCCTTTTGTAGTGTTAGTGGTTTTCAGAGGAGCCCTGCGTTTGGGGGCATTTCCGACCCGTCGGAACCTCCCTCTGTTTCTTTCCTCCTTGTTATTACAAAGGACTGTCCTCAGCTCTTCCCCACGCACTCGCACTCGCTTTAAAAATAAAGTTGCCAAATGAGAGGTTTCAAAAGTCTGGGACGACACTCTCATGGAAGGACTCCTGATTGGTCCCCGTTTGAAGACACACAGACCATCCCTGACCCTCTTTTATGGCAGGTCCCCATGGATGGTGTTGGGTCTGAACGGAAAAATCCCTGGGGCCTGTCCCCAAGGGGCATCATCCTGATGGGCAGATGCCAGCTTCAGTTTGCCACCCGGGGTCTGGGTGGGAAGTGAGCTGAGCCCTGAGCTGGGGCGGCTGGGGCTGGAAGAGGCACTGCTCTCTTCAGAGCTTCCCCAGCAGGACCTGGAGGAGTGATGGGGTCCTGCGCCTGCGCCTCTCCACTCTTCCTCCTGGTGTTTAGGGCTGGCCCTGTGGTGCCCCAGCTGCCTGGGAGGCACACACAGCCCTATGTGGGGAGCTGGAGACCTTTCTGTCTGGAAGAGGATGCTGGAGGAGGCCCGGAGGGCAGTGGGACCTGGACCAGAGCGGGCTCCAGAGAACAAGAAACACTGGGGAGAGAGGGGTGCTGCTGGCCTGCCTGTAGGGACAGGTGAGGGATGGGGCGTGGGTGGGCCCAGCCACCAGTCGCCGGCCATGCAAGCCTGCACCATCTGACAGCAGAGGATGTAGACAGCCAATGAGGCCTTTTGAGCAGGGATGTGCCATTTCAAATCCGGGGCTGGGGAAAGTTCAGTCAACCAAAGAGCTGCCTCGCTCCAAGACAAGGCATTTATCTGGTGTTTAGCTGCAGGGCCCAGCAGCTTCCGTGGAGTTGTAGAGCACGATTCCCACCGGCCAAGACAGATCAATGGCCCAGACAGGCCGAAGGGCCAGAAATTAAAAGCATTAAGCTCGTGAGTGGGCAGCAGCCACTTGCCTTAGACGCTGTCTACCCTTGCTCTGCAGCGAAGGCCGCCAGCACCCCAGGGACCAGGGGGCTTCCTTCATGCCCCTCTCGTCAGTCAGCAGTGCCCCGTCTTCCAGACCCCACCGGACCCCAGGTTCCCTGACACCCTTCTTGCCTCACCTTGGAAAGCAGTACAGTCAGGTGCGAGGAGGAAGAAGCAGCACCCACAGTCAGAGCGACCTGGTGACGGGTTTTCCTTTATTTTCATGCTGAGGACGTGGCCCAGCTCCCCAACCCAAGCACTGCCTTGACCTCTTTTGTTTCAGAATCCCTGCCCAGGCCTGCGTAGGCCCCTTCTGGTGCTGAAAGCCAGGCCGCTGACCCCACTGCCCTCCCTAGGTCCCACTCCACTCTGCTGCCTCTGCTCCCCACTGAGAGAGACCCTCCCAGACCCTACACCATGATCTGGGTCAGAGGAGGCTGGATTGGGACAGGAACTACCTGCTCTTCTGACCTAGGTGGATATGTCTCATGTGGCTTCTGAAAAACGGCTCCATCCCTGTCCTGGGGTGGGCCTGGTCACTTTCTGCTGTGGATCCCCAGGAGGGCAAAACAGGGAATTCCAGGCCTATTAAAGTTCTTCTAGGGATTAAGAGAAAGGAGGCTTGGAGAGGGGACATTCATTCCTGCTGCTCCTTGAGTGACCAGGTTCCGTTTCTGGGGACCCCCCAGCGCGGAAAGGAAAACGGGGCCCAGAGATGTGCAGGAGGGAGTGCAGGGGTTCTGTTACAGGCCCTCGGTGCAGAGGTCGGCTGGAGGGAGGGAGGGGAGTGGGGAGTGGGGGAGGCAGGACCCTGGGCGGTGCTCGAGGGAACGGGGTAGCCCTGGGCTCTGGGGTCCCCAGCGCGTCGCCCACCCCTCCCTTCAGCTGCACCGCCTCGCTAGCGCTGCGGGCCGCCAGGGTGCGTCGGGACTCAGCCCGCCAGGCCGTGGCCCTCCCCGCCCCGCCGCCCTCTCTGGCCGCGCGACCGAGACCGCCAGAGCCCCCTCCCTTGCCACGCGCTGCGCGCTCCTCCCGAGTCGCCGCCGCCGCCGCCGCCGCCGCGTGCTCCTGCTGCCTTCTCGCTCCAGCCGAGCCAGCCAGAGGAACGAGAGAGAGAGAGAGAGAGAGAGAGAGAGAGAGAGAGAGAGAGAGAGAGAGAGAGAGAGAGAAGGAGGGGGGAGAGGGGGAGAGACAGAGAGAGGAGGCGGCGAGGGAAGAGGGAGCGGGAGCGCGGAGCCGCGGAGCTGCTCCGAAGCCGGCGGAGCCTCTCGGACAGCGGCCGGGCGCGGGCCCCAGCAGCGCGCGTGGTCGGAGGAGAAGCCGCCGCAGCCGCCGCCCGAGCTCGGCCTCGCGCGCCCCTCGCCGCCGGCTCGCCGGTGCGGCCCCGGGACGCTGCTGCCCGCTCGGCGGCCGGGATGCAGCCGGGGCATGGCCGCCGGGGCCCCGTCACCTGCCGCGGGGAGCGCTGAGCCCGTGAGTAGCCCAACCCTCGTCGCCCGCCTCGCCTTGCCACGGTCGTTACCATCGAGAGGAGCGGGCTGGGGGTGGGGGCACGGCCCGGGGAGGGGCGCGAGGGACCCCGCAGTGGGAGGCGGGGCTGGCGAGGGCGCGGGGCTGCAGCGCGCCGCCAGGGACCGACCCGAGGTCGCGCGGGGAGGGGTGGCGCCCTTGGGGTCAGGGGTCCTCCCGCGGGGTCGGGGTTCTCCGGGTTCCTCGGGGTTGGGGTCAGGGCGCGTGGCCAGGCAAGGGACGAGAGGGGCGATTTTGTGAATGGGAAGGCCCGGGGTTAGGCTCTGTGGAGACGCTGGGGAGTCCCGCGCGCTGCGTGGCCGTGGCTGCGGCGGCGGCGGCACAATGCCCGGCTATGGGAACTCCCCGGCGGGGGGAGGCCGAGGTGCGCCGAGATCCCGGCCGGCGGGTCGCGTCTGGGGAGGCGGCCCGAACCCGCACGATTGGGAGCGGGGACTGGCGACCCCGCAGTGGTGCAGCGTGCTTCTCCCGCAGCACCCAGGCCCAGCAAGCCCTGCTGGGTCCTGTGGGAGGAGGGTCACTGGAGAGGTTGATGACCCTAAGGAGTTGTGGAAAGGAAAGAGCCCCCAAGGCTTCCCAAAAGGGACCAGGGCCCGCGGCCGCCCGGTGTGCACGAGGTGAACGCTCGCAGGGCCCTCCAGGGGGCGGGCTGGGGGTGCTCGGGGCGAGTCTCCCCCGCGGCGTGAGCGAGGTTCCGGCAGGAGCAGAGGCTTCCTCTCCCACGTCTCGGCCTCTCCCAGGGCCCGCGCAATCTGGCGGGGGGACGCTGCGCTAGCGCGGCCGGCACACCCTGGCCCAAACTTTCTGCCCTGGTGGCCCTGGAAGGCGGCAGGGCTCGTCTGGGACGTCTGGGATTCGACCCCCTCGGAGGCGGTCTTCCTTGGTGAGAGGCCGGCGGTCATTCTGGGGCTCTGGGTCGCAGCCTCACCGCTCCCCCTTCTGGCGCCGAGCCTCCCGTGGCGCGCAGCCCCGCAGTGCCTGGGCCACCTGGGGCAGCACCCAGGCTGTGCCGGGACTGAAGCGCCGCGACCAGCATGGGGGTGCATTGGGACCCCATCCAGTCCTGGAGCGGCCCAGGGATCCCAGGTCTCACGTGGGGAGGGGAGGATGTTTCCAGAGTCCACTGGGGGCGGGGGCCCAGCGGGTCGCGGGGGGGGGCGGGGAGGGGCGGAGGAAACTCCTGGATGACAGATCTGCCTCCCCCCACCCCTTTCCGTTCCTGCTTTTGGATTATCATTTAATGGTGACTTTTTAAAAGGACTCCCGCGGTGCCGCTAGTCCTGACACCCGCGGTGGAGGCAAAGGACAGGGATGGAGAAATCTGTCCCTCGGCGAGTGCGCCCCCCCACCCCCGCCCCCGTGGAGGTGAAGTCGCTTCATGCGCAAGCTGGCTCCGGCGGTTAATTTCCTGCCGAACGCTGGCTAGACTGGGGACGCCCGGGGCGCTCACCCGGGAGCCCGGGGCACTTAGCACCGAGCAGGTAGGAGGCTAATTGAGTGGGGTCTTTGGTACCGAGGTCTTTCGTCAGAAGCCGGCCTTGGTTTACTGGTCTGCCAAAGAAAGAAAGAAAAAAAAAAGAAATAAAGAAAAGAAAAAAAAAAACACCATATAAACATTGCGGCAGGACGTGCCCATTTAAGTGTGCATCGCGGACTCCAGGCGGATGTCTTAATTAGGCTGCGTTGTTAACGGGGATATCACACTAATTAAAACCAGACCCTCCAGGTGAGCGAAAATTGTGACGGGAGAGAGGGAGAAAGTTGTGGAGAAGGCGCTGGCTGATGAAAACGGGGTGCTGGAGGCCACGGGGTGCCCCAAGGCCGCTGGGCGCTGGCGGGTGCGGGCCTGGGGGAGGCCTGGGGGGGGGCGGGGCGCCTTTTTAGGGCCAGCCCCTCTTCGCCTGCTGAGGGCCAGGAGCTCCCTTTCAGAGGAGGAAGGGCCAAGGCTGCCACCCCCACCCCTCCCTGGGGACTGGAGGCCTCCCTGCGTGGGCGCTGGGCTCACCCAACACTCCTGGAAACAAGTTTAACTCCTCATTTCCCGGGTGGGAGCTCCTGGGAATGCTGGGCTGTTCCTGGAAGGCCGGCAGAGTGGGCGAGGTGGGGAACCCAAAAGAGGTTAGGCAGCAGAGGCAGAGGGACAGCTCGGCCTGGGAGGCAGCTGCGTGCCAGGGGAGGGATGGCCGGTGGCGCCTCGGCTGTTTGCGCTGGGGTTTTCTGGCACGAGTTGCGGGTCTCTAATAGCTCTCCCCTCCACTATAAAAAGAGAACCTAGATGGTGGCTCTGAATTGCCCTCCTCAGAGACTAGGGCCCAGGAGAGACCTGCGTCTAACCCTGGGCCTTGGGTCGCCTCAGGTCGCCAGGAGGAGTCCAGAATTCAGAAAAGTCCCTTTAGGATCGGTCTCTGAGGGCGCTGCACCTCGCTGCAAACACTCCTCATTCAGTGGCCTCGGACAGAGCCACACCGGGGCTGACAGTGTTTACCGCCCTTCGGCAGGGACCAGAGGCCGGATTGGAAGGAAGCCGTCCCTGCCGCCCGGTGGCATAGAGGGCGGGAGCACAGCGGGCGGCAGCACCAAGGACAGGGCCTGGGCGCGCTTCCCGCCAATCCTCCCCTGGAATCTCGGATAGTGTGGGGGTGTCAGATGTTGCCCTCACCCTGCTGGGGGAAAGGGGAGGCTCCCGAGGCCAGTTCAGAGCCAGGAAACCCCAGTCTGGTGAAGACATAATTGCATCCAGGAGGTGCCTGGGTACCACTCTGGAAAGGGCCTTCTGTCTGCCTGCCACCTCCTCACGCTCTTTGCTATCTGGAGATGAGCTAAGCTTGGGAGCTGTCCA